TAAAGGTAGGGAGTACTTGTTTTTGATAGTGATTTTGTTGAATCCTTAATAATCAACACACATCTACAATGATCCATTTTTTTTCTTCACGAATAAAATTGGAGCTCAAACTAGAGATTTGGAATGGCGTATGAAGTTCTTGGCCAAATTTTCTTCAATATACTCCTTGAGTTCAACCAACTCATTTTGAGATAAATTGTAGATTGGTCCAAATGGTGGTTGTGCTCTTTCTTAAAGGTCAATTGAGCAATCATAGGAACAATGTTCTGGAAGAGTATCTGCATTCTTTTTCTCAAATACATCTTAAAAATCTTAATATTGGCTTGAAATGCCACTTGAAGTCTTTCCACCAATAGAAACAAGTGTGGCATAAATGACACAAAGTGATTCTTCTTTTGCAGCATGCAAGAAAGCACTTCCACCTACAAATATATGTTTAATTATACTAGACTTATGACTTTCTACTTGATTAACTACACTCTTAGTTATACTTTCAAAAAAGTCAAGACTATGAGAAGTCTAATCTATTTTAGGATTATATTTTTTTAGCCATGATAAACCTAAAATGACTAGATTAGAAGGAGATCTAATGATATTAAATATTACAAAGTGCTACTATGACCATTAGTTGCTATTTCTATAGGAAGGGTTTCATGAGTAACATCTCTTGAAGACAACGAATGACCATCTGTGACTTCTACATGAACAGGTTTAGTTTTCTTTACTAAAAATATACTATGTCTTTTAGCAAATTTTTCATCTAAGAAACATGCTAAGGTTCCTAAAGCTAGCAAGGCAGAGGCTTTAAGATGTTTGGGTCCTAGAATAATATTTATCATAAAATATGGAGAGGGTTTTGAAGAGAAGATAAGTCCTTCACTAGACATTGTACAAGCTTCCAGTCGCATGGTCCCTATTGTAGTTGGATAAATTTATTTTTCGACATGCTATCTCCTTTGATCGCCGTACTCCTTATTTTATGGTTGCGCCGCTTCTTTGGGCAATGTTGAGCAGTGTACTTAGGTTCTCCACAATATAAGCATAATCCTTCTTGACAATGACAAGTATTTTCTTGCTCAGTAAGAGATTTGAAACGTACTGCATCAATTTACATATCTTCTACTTTTGAATGTATGTGTTGAAGAGATGTTGGTGTTGCTATTGAATTTTAGTTATATTGAGGTGTACTTGTATGATTCTCAGATCGGAATTCAAAAAGGCAATTGTCGCACTTCACAGCAAAGTCAATTGCTTGACTCAATGTTTGAGGATTAAGTAAGTTAAGCATTAATTTTTTTTAACTCATATTGTAATCTATAGAGAAATTGGCTAATAAATGTAGCATCATCCTATTTGATATCAATTACAAGTTGTCAAAATTATGAACCATACAATGTTACTGATCGATTGCCTTATCGTAAAATATGGATCTTATTGGTTATAGCACGAATTGCATAATGTTTTCCATACATGGATTGAAACTTTGCTAAAAAAGCCTTTAGATTATCTAATATTGGATCTCGTCGTTCAAGAAAAGATGAAAACTATGATAATATTGAACCTAAAAGGAGCATAGCAATGAATCTAACTTGTGATCCTGGAATTGAATAGCTTTGGAGTTGAAGTTTAATCACAAGTTGTACTTAATTGATAAATCTTTTAAACTTTGATCTGGTGCCATCAAACTTCTCGGATAGGGCAATTCTTGGTTTTCTAACACTAGAAGGGCGTTCCACCATAGGAAAAGGGACATGATTTGGTGTAGATATCGAAGCAACTTCAATCATTCCAATATCTTCACTTCTTGCCAATCTTGTTGCTCCTTGTAGTGGTAATTTGAGTTGATACATTGCAAGCATTAACTCCCTCAATTGTTCTTGCATTTGTGCCATTGTACTCTTTATTTCAGCAAGTTCTGTCATAATAACACTTAAAAAAGAGAAGATGTCTAATATTGCTCAAGACAAATAGAAGAGAGGATTTGAGAACAAAGAAAATACTAAAGACAATATCAGTTTAGAAAGGGTAATCCGCAACTTCTAATATGCTTATGTCTTATGAAGAGAAAGAGATAATCCACTCTTAATCAAGATAAGATAAAGCTCTGATATTATAAGTGTACTCTTCTCAATCTGTCAAGGACAAGAACATGATAAAGATAAATAACAAGTGAGACTTCTCTCAAAGAAAGGTGACAAAATAGAAATAATTTGATATATATATTAAGAAAGAAACAGGAATAGCTATTGCCAAAAGCCAAGAAAACTAGAGACCCTTGAAATTAGATTGGAAGCAAGAAAGGAATTGACAAGAGTGAAAAAGGCTTCATTCTTGTATCTATATATACTATCTAACTAAGGGCTATGTGGCGACATTCTATAGGACCTCCAATATGTGTTGACTTTGTAGGATACATGCCTTGGCTTATAAGGCAAGTTTTTCTACGAGTAGGCCACGTAGTTAGCTTGGTCTTCAAGTTAACAACATGTGTGGCACATGGCGAACTTGTTGACCACGTTTTTAATCCCAAAAAGTCAATTAAAGACACCTATAAAGTCAAAGCAGCATCTATGAAGCTTCTAAGAAGCTTTTATATCAAATACTAAAGAATTAACTTATTTTTATCTACTTTTAGTTACTTCTACCTATTTATACATATAATTATTAGCTTACATGTGTATGTCTGTGATAGCACCTTAGAACTGCTATGAGTGCATGGTTATATGCTTTAGGATCTAGTTCTAACTTTAATTCACAACTAATCTTCTTTTGATATCAATTCTTGGTATTTAGAATTAACTTTGTTTAAACTATTCTTAACTCCATCTTAAAGTTGTCTATATAATTTATTATCTTAATTTATTTTTTTTTTCTTATTTATGGTCTTAGAAAGTAAATAGAAGTCTTTTTCTTTTTTTCTTTTTTTTTAATAAAAAGACAATACTAATACTAAAAGTTTTCACTACCTTCCTATCATTTATCCATGTTTTTTTTACTATATCTTTCTACTAGTCTCTTCTATAATAAAATCCATATTTTTATCTTTTACAATACAGTTATGTTATCACATGACAATAAGGAGATTGTGATAGGGAACAAGAACATTGGGCCAAAAAACAAAGAGATTATGATAGAAAATGGACGGTGCAATGTTGGTTTTGATGGAAGAATTGAATTAATGGCTAGTAGGGTCAATTTAGCATTCTTATATATATATATATATATATATACATATTTTTATTTATTTATTTATCTAATTTTTATTTTTACAAGTATTGCTTAAAACATGCATAAATTAAATCCTTAATTTTTATAATAAATATATTTTGTATATATATATATAAACATACATAATATTATGTGGTTAAAATTTTTAATGCTACTTTAAAATTATTGTAGTCACATATTATTTTATATTAATAAAATTCTAATAAATTATTTCTATTTAAATATACATATATTTCTTAACTAAATAAAATTAGTAATATATAAATATATATTTTAAAAATTTATATAAAAATATATATTTTAACATATTTTGATTTAAAATTTAGATTTATATAGATATAATATGTTAAAACCTACTAAATTCTTAAAAAAAAGTTAAAATTTTATAATAATATGTTTCTAAGTACATTTAGAATATAAAATACACAAGTTTAACATTAAAATAATTTAAATTTTATATATGCCTTTAAAATTAATATATATATATATATATATATATATATATATATATATATATATACTTTTGTAGTATCCATTTAAATAAAACATTTATAGTAAATATTAGAGCAAAATATAATCAACTTTGTTTCAAGATGTAATTGTCTCTAGTTATATATATTAATAAAAAAATATTATCAATTATTTAGAACTTCATATCTTCTACTAAGAAATTTAAATTTTATTTTAGCTTCATAATTAAGATTTTAAAATAGATTAAAAAATAAAAAATGATTCTTTATAAAAATCAAATAATAATCATAATAATAATAACAAGTGTTTTAAAAGTGACTTTTTATATGGCTAATAAACTATTAAAGACTTCTTAAAATTTTAGCTATTCAATTGGTATTTGTAATTGTAAATTATTCTACACTATTAAAACAAATTGATTAAGTTAGATTTTTTTAATATAAAAATTAATTATATGATTTATCTAAAATATTAAATTTATTTATTTATTTTTATCTTTTTGATACTTCTTTATTTATTTTTATTTTGGAAAATTTCTTTAAATATAACTATTAATATATATATATATATATATATATATATATATACATATATATATATTTTTATATTTAATCCATATATTTAATTTATTTTATAAGATTTTGATTATGAACATTATTTAATTACAATTGTTTCTTTAGAAATTGAACGAGTTTAATTCTTTGGTATTATTTTTATTTTTGTTTATGATTTTAAATAAAATTAGGTTTATTTATTAATAGATGTAATAATATGTATATAATTTTATTGTAAATTAAGTGAAGCACGTAATAGAAATTCAGTAAAATAATTTATATTACTCTTCAAAATAATTATGTCTGAACTTTCAAATCTTTTATTAAATTTTAAATTGCATAGCACTAATTTTTAATTGTGTTAAATTTTATTCAAATTAAACATGAAAATATATAAAAATGGTTAATTTTTTTTTTTTATAGAATGTCATTAATTAAATACAAGACTAAACAAAAAAAAAAGTGACAATTGATATAATAATATTTTAAATTTGTATTTTAATCAATATAAGTTACTTCATTATTAATAAAAATAATATATCAAAATATACATAAACGAATAATATATTTTCTTTATCCAAAAATCATAATCTTGCAATTTTGCATTTGAATAGCAAATGCGAATACCAACTCATAATGTATATTATTTAATTGCTAAACAGTTTTTGTTGAACAGTAAGCTGAAATCCTCCATACTTTTCGGTTACTGAAGGTGGTGTCTCGTTGAAGCTTAACCCGTTGAAATGTATTGAATGAGAAGGTGCACAAGACATAATAAAGCAGTCCTAAGAAGTTGAAGCATGTGTGTTTCAACAGCTGGGTCTCGATGCTTTCCATCTTCTAACGTGGATTTTGTGCACAGCAAAGTTGCATAGGCAAACATGAGCTGCACAGTATTAGGGTTGAATATTAGCTTAACATTTTCCAGGCTAGAAATTAGGGTTGCAACGTAGCGTTCTTTGATGTTTTCGTCATGTGTAGGCTGCATTCTTCAAAACCAAGGTCAAGTTCCCCACATGATATGAGGCGATGGTGTCATTCCGTCACTGGCGTCAATGCAAGGAATTTGAAAATGCTGACAAATCTTGCGCAACATCACGAATCCTGAAGATTGAAGGTATGTGTGCACAGAGCGAAGCATAGGAAAGATGATGGGGGAGGCAGGAGCCATGAGTGTTGTTGAGGTACAGAGGTGGAAGAACTCAGGGATTGCCTGTAGAACGATCATTCATGTTTTTCTACAGCATGGGCCCTTCATTAATGCCCATTGCTCGATTTCAAGGGAGTGAAACATTCCAAAGACATTCCTCAGAGGATATTAGGAGAATGGAATTAAGAGGAGTGAAAAAGAAGACGTCTGCAGATTGATGAGGTGGGTTGTTGCAAAATGGTCTGAGGATTTTTCGTTCATGTGGTAAGTGTGGAGCCTCCCTCGCTGTGGTCCCTACGTGAGCAGCTTTGTTGTGTAGCTCTTGTCTGCGTCAGTTGATTTTTGTTCTGAGGAGTTGCTGTAATTGAGGTCATCTAATTAGTTCCTGGGTTTAAGCTCCGAAACATAATGGAGGCTGCTGAGTACAATCTCTCAGGGCACGTATGACTTGGTTCCGGAAGGCACCCCCCAGATGGTTGAGGATGTCACGAATGATGGTTTTGATGGATTTATTTAAACCACGGCCTGATTGCGTACATGGAACAAGAGATCATATTCACGTTACCTGCTACAACACTGGGGTTTGAGCCTTATGCACTTGTCTTCAATTCTCAGTTCCAATATCATCTGGTCATTGTGGCCCAATACCACTCTCATTGTGTGACTTTAATCCTCTTCAATTCTGATATCCTTCCTTATTTGAGCGTCTTGTTTCCTCCCTTGTGCATTTCTGCTGGCATACACTGCTCTTTCATCTTCTCTTCTTTCATCTGCGCGACATAGAAATGGTTTGCCCAAGTCATACCATCATCAATATACCATCTGGAGTTGAAAAATTAGTATAGACTTGGTAGATGCTGTACTGTAGCATTATTTTGTGAACTTGTAACTAAAAGCTTGTTTCATTTATTCCACTTATTGGATTGCAGAAACCCAAAGATCTGGAAGGTATTTGCCCCTGCTCGGATGTAACTGCGAGATGTCCTTCAGAATTTGTGTGTCTTGATGTTAGTTGTCACACTGGAATGAAGGGAGCGGGAGGAGCAGAATTTTAAATAGTGGAAACCATGACGGAAATAATCTCGTCCACATCCAAGAACTCAACGACTTTAACAAGAAAAATTCAGAAATTTCCATGAGAAATTGAGGTGACATTTTCGAAAGCTGATTTCCAATTGCAAGCATTAGGATTTCAGGTGGACTTTCTGAGACCATGAGTTGTGTATGTAGCTGTGCTGCCGTTTCGATTTCACCTGTGGCTCATGTATTGAAGAGGGTGCTAGTCATAGAACGCGATCTGGGGTTAAATGACGCTTCCTAAAATGCTTGCATTGGTTGTGGTATCATGTCCTAAAAGTGATTTGAATTGTCAAGGTTTCTTGTCTTTTCAACTAAAACATTTGTTAAGTGTTGCGACTTGCTCAAGCACAGCCACTTAGAATTCCATCCTCGAAGTAGTCCACTAGTATAATCTAGAAGAAGCATCTTAACACATGGATAGGGAACTTCTTAGGAGTGGATTACTGTAACAATGTAAATAAGAGATTAACGGTCCTAGTCTCTCTTCTGATCCTCTCTTACTTCCTAGATTTATGCAGATTCATGCAAGTTTATACAGATTTATGCAGATATATACAAGATAGAAGGCATAAGACTCTTCTCTTCGATTAAGTAATAAGAAACATTTTGTAATAAATTCCATGAGCTGAATATACATAAAGATTTTTTCTATTATTAAGATTTCTACATTCTTTGGTAACATTTGAAGAAAAAAATTTAATTTTTAGTATTTCAAAGAAGTGATTATTGCAAAGAACTCAAATCTTTAAAGACAATAGATGATGCAAGTTCTGAAGAATATCTCTTCAATATTGATAGAATTGTTATTGGTCTTATAGAAGTTAATGACAAAAATTAAAAACATACATTGAATAAAATTACTTTCATTGGTCTCTTCAAATCTTGGATCTTCTTTTAAATCACTTTTGATACAATATTTACATCAAATCTTAAAATATCTTTATTAGACTTTAAACAATATGTCAAGAGCAAAGACAAAATTATCAAATTGATAGTTTAATTAAAAAAATATTATTTATTATTCAACCAAAGAAGAATCTATATAAGAAAAATAAGTCTATTTATGTCATTACTAAATTATCAAAGAAGAAAGAAAAAATATTGATTTATACATATTGTAATTAATATGATCATTAAGAGTGTAAGTACAAAATTAAATAAGCTCATATTCAGCTTAAATCTTTGGCTTTTACTCAATTATAGAAGATCTAATAAATCATTATTAATATGAAAAATAAGAAAGAAAATGCAACCAAAAGATAATTTAATTTCGACTCTCGCAATATAGATAAAATCAATTCATTTAAAAAAAATCAATTAGATAGTCATGATGAGTCAAATTTAAGATAATTCAATCATAGACTTTAGAGCAAGTTTGAGCTTTACAAATTCAAAGAAGATCCTATTGAAATTCTAGTCTATTAGCTCTCACTTAAGCATAATTATTGTTAGAGGCTCCAAATTTTTAATAAATGCAAATGATGTATCTCTATTACTAACAATAAATTTCTTATCAATATTTATTATATTTTATCTATTAAAATTAACTTATTTTTGGTTAAAAAAATATATCATGGAAGCAACATTTTTGTCTTTATCTCATATCATTTTCTTATATTAAACCAAAATAATTGTAGCAAACCAATTCTTATTGTTCATAGAAATCCTTCTAATTTCTTTTACAAAGTTGATTCTATCATCTTTTTGTCTTTCATTGCTTGCAATGTTGTTAATTTCATTCTTCTAATTGTTCACAATTGTGATTTGCTAGAAACCATTTAACGAAATTGACTTTGTCATCCAAATTATAAACAACTAATTTATATGGTAAAGAATTATTTTGGCTTCAAGCTTCTAATTCTCATTAAGAAGCTATTATTTTTTTAATCTTACATATAAAAATAAAATAAAATAAAATAAAAAACAAAATTATGCAAATTTTTTTTAAATTTCTACTTTTATTGGCATACATCTTCAACTAATATATTTTGATATTTATGGACTATTTTTTATTTATTTTCGAAAAAAAGATATAATATTTTTTATATTTATTGATAAATTATTGAATTACACTTGGATATATTTTTTAGATAAAAAAATTAAATTTTCTTGCTTTATTGGAACATTTGAAATGTAATAGTGAAATAACTCTCAAAACATATAGTGCTTGTTTTTGTTTTAATCAAAGAAAAAAATATTTGTTTCATAAATTTTTTAAATTCATTGAACAAAATAATATCATTAGATAACTTATTACTTATTGTGGACATATATATTCATATAGATAAGAAGTGTTAGATAGAAAATAAATTTAAATAGATTTGATATTAACTTGTGACAAAGCTTCTTAGACCCTTTATAGACATGTATTTGATTTTAGATGTATTTGTAATTAATTGATAAGTTAGAAACTTGGCTAACAAGTTAGCCATGTATTACAAGTATTAGTAGCTTATGGAACAAACTAACTACATGGCATATATGTATGAAACTTATCTTATAAGTTAGACACATATTAAAAGTCCTCTAAAATGTTGTCATGTAGCTTCTAATTAGATAGTATAAATAGAATAAGAATAAAGCCTTTTTCACTCTTGTCAATGCTTTTTTAGTCCTTAATCTTATTTCAAGACTTTCTAATCTTCTTGTCTTTGACAATAGCCATTCTAGTTTCAATACTATATTAATTTTAAGTCAATATCTATTCTATTTGAGTTATATAAGAAAGTATTGAATTTTTTATTCATATCCCTAATAGTTTGTTATTAGCTCTAATTTATTATTCTTATCTATTTTTTAGAAGTGAATGAACTATTCCACTTCTATTGTTGTATTTTGAAGGTTGTAAACTATCCACCTTCAATCTAATATTTTAGTTCTCTGATAATGATTATTTTCTTCAAAAAAGTGGACTACCTTTCTTTATAGAAATTTTCATTTGATATTGGAGGTTGCGGATTATCTTCTTCTAATTTGACTTATAGATTTGTTTGAATTCTTATGGAAGTAAAAATTATGGATGCTATTCTTGACAAAAGTGAGAAGGAATTGACAACCATTTACAAATCTTTACAAGCTTGTCAACCCTCTTAGGATAGAAATCTCATGTATCTTTAAAATCAACTATGGAAGTATTATTCCAATGTCTATAGAAGAGGTCAAAAATGAAGTTTAAAGTCTACACTAAGAAGTTGATCAGTTGAGAGAAGCAAATAGATCAAGTTCATAGCTAAATCTAAGGAGTCTTACTATTATAAGTTTGAAGGAGGCAATGATAAGTATGCAAGAGAAGTTTGATGGAATAAGATTGAAGTTTTGAAGATTTTTACAACAAATAAAGTTCTATCTAAGGTTGCATCTTTCTCAATACCCTCATAGATTTACTTAAGTTCGATTTATAAGTACACTTTTCTTTGAAAGTATTTTTTTTTTTTTTTATTTGTACCTTGGATGAAAAAAGATTCACAACTATTTTATGATTTAAATTCATTCTTGGAAGTCTTCATGGTTTCATATACAAAAAGTGACTGGAAAAGAATAGCAAAAATCAAACTTATATCTTTACGGTAAGATCACATTCAGCCACTATATATGCTATTAAATTCCAAAACCTTGCTTGTAACATGGATTAGAGTAGTGAGGCTCTTATCAATAAATTTTGGTATGGATTAAATGATAACATTAAAATTAACAATACCAAAAATAAACTCAATGGAGTTATTTATTATTCAAGCCATTGCATATAATAATGAACTCTTTAAAAGATGTTAAGAATAAAGATTTTATTGGAGAAATACAAGTGAAGTCATAGCAATACCTTCTAAGTTTTTAGAGCTTATTCATCAAGATTAAAACCTAAGTAAATTAAAATTATACATTTTAAACCTCTTATTAAGTAAAAAAAGACTTGATGCCATCAAAAAGGATTGTACCTAAATTGTAGAGAACTTAAGCACATTGCTCAACATTATCCAAAGAAACAATACAACTATAAAATGATGAGTTTGGTTTCTAAAGAAGACAATGTATTGAAGAACCAATTTCTTCAGCTATAATAGTGATTGTACAGCTCAAATTTTGTATAATAATGGATAAAGATCCTAACTTTTCTACAGATCTTTTACCTTATTTTATAGTAGAAATTTTTTTAGGACCAAAAAATCACAAAATCTTAGCTTTATTAGATTTAAGAGCCTAAGAAGATTGAAGATTAAAACCAACAAAGATTGGGGAAATACTTTATTAGATTTTAAAAGGTTATAAAGAGCTTTTGAAGCTTTGGAAGATTGAAGCCTTATTAGATTGAAGTAATAGATGATTATTTGTTGTCTTCCAAAGATATCACTTATAAAACTGTTCTTATAGATATAGCAATTAGTGGTTATAATAGCTTTGTAATATCTAATATGATTAAATTTTCTTCTAGCTAAATTATTTTAGAATTATCATAGTTAAAAAAAATATAATCTTTATATAAAATAGATTTTTTATAATCTTGATTTTTTTCATAATTTAGTCTATGATTTTTCTAGTCAAATAGAAATTTATAAGTCCAATATCTCCAAATCTTCATTGATAGGTGTGAGAGCTTTCATGCATGCTATAAAAGAATGATCAACTTTTTCTATATATGTCACACTTGTTTTTGATGTAAAAAAGACTTCAAATAAAATTTCAAGCCAATATTGAGATTATCAAGACATTTTTGGAAAAAAAATGTAAATATTTTTTTAAAATATCATCCTTACTATTATTCCATTGTTCTTTAAGAAAGAATTCAACTTCCATTTAGACCAATCTATAGCCTATTACAAAATAAGTTGGTTGCATTTAATAAGAACGTTGATAAAAACTTAGCTAAAAACTTTATACACCATTCGAAATCTTCAGTAGAAATTCCTATCTTATTTATGAAGAAAAAAGACAAATCTTTTTAAATGTGTGTAGAATATTAAAAACTCAATAAGATCACCATCAAGAATAAGTATATTCTATGTTAATTTTAAGATTTTTTAATCAATTCAATCAAACAAAGATCTATATAAAAATATATCTATAATAGCATATAATCTGGTACGCATCAAAAAAGAGAGATGAATAAAAAATTATATTTTAAATCAGGTATGGACATTTTGAATATAATGTCATGCCTTTTAGATTTATTAATGCACCAATTTCTTTTCAACATCTAATAAATAATATCTTTTGTGAGTTTTTTCATGACTTTGTCATTTATTTCTTAGAAAATATCTTAATTTATTTTAAAAATATAAAAGAATATGAACTTCATATTTGTTATATATTACAAAAACTAACAAATACAAGATTATATGCCAAGGTAAAAAAGTATGTATTTCATACTACTCAAGTTGACTTCCAAAGATATATTATTTCAAATAATGGTCTTATAATAGATCTTAAGAAGAACTAGACTATTATAGATTAAAAGGCTCCAAAAATAATTAGAGATGTATAATATTTTTTGAAATTTTTCAATTATTACCAAATCTTAATTAAGAACTTTTTTCAAGTTGGTATTCTTCTTACACGTTTGACATGTAAAAAAAAATTGAGTGGAGTAAAGAAGTTGAAGCATCTTTTAAAGCCTTAAAGATATCATTTATTTCTACTTTAACTTTGTATTATATTGAATT